TTGTTTGTGGGTTGTTGTTTTTTTTTTTTTTCTTTTTCTTCTTCATGCACCCATTAATATTGAAGGAATCTTTTTTTTTTTTTTTACCGAAAGTTTTATCACAAGGAGCAGTAGGATGGCTCCACACTGCCACCAGTAATGAAAGTTAGGCTTGCCAGCCATGAAGGCAGTTTAACCCCTTGGTCACACCTCGCCTTTTAATTCCCTTTGAATAGGCCTGATACAGCTTTGATGGAAAACACACCCGGTGCATGGTTCAGGAGGCTACAGAATTGAGAGCTATTAAATACTAAAAAGACAAGGTGAGAAACAATTTGCAAAATCTCCTCTTTTTATAGACTGCAGCTATTGAGAAAAATTGAGTAAATTCCCCAGCTACCAAGACTGCAGTCTGTTTCAAGATTCCATCAATTTTTTACGGTACAATCAATATTTATGAATCCCCAAAGAAATATTGCAAAGAGAAACATGGTGAAACATTTTCCATGCAGTTGCAAAGATGTAACGTGGGGACCTAAATAACTTTTAAAATAATCTCAATGACAATCAAAGTGCCTTACATAGCCAATATGGTTTAATGTCAGTGTTTATATTAGCTCTCTTCTAAAGAATAGATGGAAAGAGGGAAAAAAAGTAAAGAAAATGTTTGCAGTTTAATCTCTCCTAAAGAAGACATTTTACTATAATAAGTATTCTGTAATTTGGTGCTTAAAAATTCAAAGGAAGTGTCATATTGAAAGTTCTTTGATTTTTTTAATGCATTAAAAATATTCACCATCATGCAAGCAATGGATTTTTCAGTCAGCTGGAAAAGGAAAAAGATTTCTATAAAAACTAGGCAAACAAATCCACATTCCTTTAATGGCTACTTTAGGTTTAATATCTAAACTTATTTAAATAACTCTGAACCCTCCTGCTGAGAAATATTGAAAGTAATAGATTCCTTTGTGTGTAATCTCCATTTACATGTAGAGTTTAATTTCCCTCTGGGCAGAACCTATGTAAAACTTGCCTTGAAATGTCCCTCTGTAAAAGAACAATGTTTAGGGGGATGCCTTTTATTTTATTTAAAATTTATTTTGCACTTTAAAAAAAGCAAAAAGCCAATTCACTTCAGAGCTGCCAAAATGGTGACTATGGCATGAAGTTAAAATTTTTTGATCACGTAATTGATCACAATCCACACTTGCAGATGCTCCAAGATGCATCCAAAAATCAAGATCAGCCCTGCTGTGCTCATCACACCCATGACAGATCTCTCAAGTGATGTTGGTCCCTCCAGAAAGAACCAGTTTTATTATTACTTTTCTCCAAGGAATTTAGATGGAATTTGATTTTAGGGTGAAGCAATTCTAAATTTTAAGCTTGTCCCTTGATGTTTGGATATCCTTTGGCTCCTTACCTCTTCTCAGTTCTGTCCCACCTGCCATCACACACATGTTAGCTAAAAATAGTCTATTGTGCACATTTTTATTTGGTTGCTGTCATCTTTTTTTTTTCCTTTTCTTCTTTTTTTTTTAACTTAGAGGAAACAGTACTAGGAGAGATCCCTCTTAATGAACCAGTAACTTAAAGCATTTAATTACCTAAACCAAAGCCTTATCTTTGATGTCAATATTTTATTTTTAAACATTAGCGAGGGCTAAAGTAAGGAAATCTGATGAATTTGCAAAAAGCTTTCAGTGAGGTTTATTTCCCTAAATTAATCAGGCAAGTTGCAATCCCAGCTATTTATAAGTCTAGTTAAGTGTTGCTCCCTTGTGAGGTGCCTTTTCTTTTTTTCTTCCCTCCCATACATACTGAAGTGTCTCAGTTATTCAGGCTCTTACCTAGATACCTCATCCAGGGGAATCTCGGTGGGAAGATCTGATATCTGATCTGCTTCTATATTTAATGGCATATTTCATCATGGGGGAATATTTTATTCAACTATCTCCCCTGAAACTATTTTTTCACAGTGAGCTACATTCGAAATAGCAACATTTTTAGAAGTGTTTTTTGCTGGAAAATATAAGGGAAAGAAAAGTGTTCTTCCTCAAGGAGGATTTAGCAGGATCTGTCAGAGAGAAAAAAAAAAGAGAGCTTGTCCTCAGAAAACTTTGGAGCATTATTTAATAAAAAAGAAATATTCCTCTGAAATTCAGATAAGTGAGGATGATCACTGGAAGCATCCACAGTAAAGTGACCCAAGGACACTGCACCGTGGTGGAAATGGGGTACCCTGGCCATCTGCACCCTCTTCTTATAAACCCCATGAAGAGTTAAAAACTCCATTGTTCTCCAACCCCACACAGCTCTACAGTTTATAAAATACATATATTTTAAAACACCAACCCTGCTGGGACATAAAAAAAAGCCCCAATAATAAAGCTGCAGACTCTTTTTGTCATAGAAGCCTCCCACTCCACCCAGGCAGTCAGGGATGGTTTGGCCAATGTTTAATGAGTTTACAATGTTACATATCTCTTTATCTTTTAATCCATTTAATCATCAAAATTTCCAGGAAAAACAAGAACCAAAAAAAAAAAAAAAAAAAAGACTACGAAACAACAACAACAAGAAAAAACAATGCCCCCAATTTGTGTTTTGTTTGACTGCGAGTAATATTCATGTCTGCATGAGGATGGCATGTAATTAACATGTCATAATCAAAATGACTAAGTTTGACACATTATAATCACTGCATGGAGATTATAGCATAGCCACGGGCGATCTGCACAGCCTATCTTAATATCATTTGCATAATGAAAGCATGGTGGCAGTAATAGCTTTTTTCTCTTGTTATCATAATTTCACCCAGGGCTGCAAAGGGCTTTGGTACTGTCAGATGTTGCCTGTTAAAAGTCATTGCCTGCTCAAGACTCCAGTCCAAGTGACCCAAGTATTTCCATGAGAGCAAACGCCGTGTGGCTGCACAGGAATACATTGGAATGGATCACTTTTGCCCTGATTCCCCAGAAAATGTGCATGCATTTTTAATTTGGGGTCCCGATGGAGGGCCTGTGTCTTACCTGGGAGGCTCCTGTAGAACTGGGCTGTGTTTTCTGGGCATATCCCAAATTTCCTGTGCGTTGGGAATAGCAGGGCGCGCTGACACAGCACTTCTCCTGAAACATCCATGGAGAATTCTTGGATGGTGATGCTCCAGCCTGGCCACAGCATCTTTACAGAGAATTCCAGCTCCACTCTTACCTGCCTGGAGAGCTGGGACCATATCCATGCACTTCTCCAAAGAAATGCCAGGTTTAAGGCAATTGCTCACCCTGAACAGAGAATGGCACATTCTGCAGTGACCTGGAGTGACTCCAGTGAGCAAGTGGCCACTGCTTCTATCTCCTCAGATGGTTCCTGTGCACTGCAAGGAAATGTCTGCAAAACCAGGAAAAAAAAAAAAAGAAGAAGAAGAAGGCTGAGAATTGGCCCCTTGCAAAGCTGGGGTTGATATCCCGAGTCCCCACGGTGAAATCAGGGCCACATGGTGTAAGGGGCTGGTGAGGGGCAACCTGCTGTCTCTTGGCATGCACAGTGGGTGGCCCAGAGCAGAGGGATGTTCTTTAGATTGCTGTGCCACCTTTCACTCAGGAGGGTCCCAAACCCAGGACCTCAAAGAGTCTCATCAGAGGAAGGGACCCAGCACCTCCCAAACTCTGCCTGTTCCCCAGAATCGTGGAATGGTTTGGGTTGGAAAGGAGCCTTAAAGGTGACTTAGTTCCAACCCCCTGCAGTGTGCAGGGACATCTTCCACTAGAGCAGGTTGCTCAGGGCCCCATCCACCTGATTTTGAATGTTTCCAGGATTGAGGTGTCCACCCCCTCCCAGGGAACTGGACCCAGCTGATGGCCACAACGCCCCTTCCACCTGGCCAAACCAAACTCCCAGAAGCCAATACAGGGAAGATTTTAAGCTGAACCTTGTTCTGGGTATGAACCTTGTGTTTCTAGTTCTACCTTTCCTCTGTGTTACACTTTTAGAGTTTGATGTTTTACCAGGAGCCCACTTGTACCAGTGATTCTGTATTTTGTAATTCACAGCGTAAGGCTCATGCATCATTTCCATATTGTTCCAGCCACTATACAGCCCAATCACATTAACACACAATAATACTCCTGCAGACATTACAGCATTAGGAATTGCAAATTTATCTTACAGCAAGGAGCAGCTGCAGTAGCTGGGATAACATAAACTGATATAGTCCTCCCAGATACACTCAAGAAAATTCCTGCAGAATTTGGAGAAGACCAGAGCAGATGAACTAAGTTATGTATGCAGTCCCCCAGCAGCTCAGTAAAATAGTGTCACATATCCAGGCTTCCTGGAATTATTTTTGCATGGTATGCTCAAGTGATTATGTTAAGTTAGGTTTTAGTAATAGACTCAAGTTGCTTGCTTTTATCCTAACAGGGATATAATGTTGGCTCTTTTTATTTAAGTGGAATCTTGATCATATCTACATAAAAAGAGTAAATGTGCTTTGTGGGGTGATGCTAACCTGCAGTGGTGTCAGTTAAAAGATCAGCAGTTTTCCCTAATCTGAAATTACCCAACCAGACATTCAGGTCTGTACATACTATTTCTCTATAGGTCTGTACACAAACTTATTTCTCCTTTAAAATGCCAGCCTTGCATATTCACCTGGGTAAAAAGATAGGACATGCAACCTTGCTGGTATACTAATATCCTAAAAGGACCTGTTCATTTCTAGACACTGGAGACTTTTTTCCTAATAAGACTGCTTTTGAATGATAGAAATATAAATTCTCACATTTATCAGTAACACCTGACACAGAGGAATGCCAAATTGTATTTTTACCACACTGGTGATTTCTATGCTGTCTACAGCATATTTCTATCCAACAGATGCATGGGACCTTTACAAATAAAATACAAAATATTTATGTTCCCCCATGCAGGGGCCAAGGAGCCATTAGAAGCCTATTTTGAGCAACTTGTTCTAGTGGAAGGTGTTTCTTCCCATGGCAGGGTGTTTGAAATGCAATGAGCTTTAAGATCCTTTCAACCCAAACCATTCTGTAATTCTAAGATTCAAAATCGAAACCTCTTCCATCTCAGTGACTGTGTCCCAGCAGATATAAATCAAAAGCACCCAGAGATCCCGACTAAAGTACTCTCAACTCCAAAGCCTTGACTGGTATGAGGGAATCCATGGTCCAGAAAAGTGGCACTTTGACCCACCCAAACCCTGAGTGGAAAGAGGCTGAGTCAAGCTCCTAGGCTGGTCCTGGCTGGGCAGAGTGCCACCAGGCACCCCTGGTCACACTTTGCACTTGCCAGCCAGATTCATCTTATGGAAAAGGTTGGTAAAAGCCCCACATTCTCCATCCCTGGGGGCCATCCCAGCCCCCTGCTGCTCTCCTTGGTGGGTCATCCCATCCCCACTCACAGCAGCACCAAGGGTCGCTCCAGGAGGGTGCCTGGGCTCCGAGAGCCCCTCCCAGGGCTGAGGCAGGGCGAGTGAGGGTCCTGGCACCAGTCTGGCTTCCCGTGCTGGCAGCATGGATGGTGAGTTCCCTGCTGGGCAGACCTGCCCTGGCTCCTTGTGCTGCCGTCCTTAAGTCGGACTAAAGTCAGAGCCCATCTCGCTGTCATAATTCCAGCAGTTCATGTGTCTTCTAATCACATGTTTTATGGTTAGTAAAAGTGCCCCATGGGAGCTGATTAAAGGTTTATGAGAACCAAGAAAATCTGATAGGATTTGGTTTGAATCCGACCAGTTTTTTAAGTTTCCTATCCATAAGCTTTTAAGTACTTACAAGCCATTATTTCTGTCTTTGATGCAATAGGGTTGTTGTTTTTCCTTTTTATTTCTTTTTTTTCCTTTTTTTTTTTTTAGTCAGGGGGAGGGAGGGAAAAAAAGCAACATAAATCTCAGAGCAGAGATTTTTAAAAATGATTATCAGATTTGGGTAAGATTTATCTTCCCCTTTAAAAAAAGCTTTTCACAATCACAATATAAATGCATTAGCACAAAAGCAGTCTAAACTCACATTCAGAAAGATACAGCACTCTGATATGGGGCTTCTTTAGTGGAAAGTACCTGGAACATGAAAGCAGCTTAACTCTTTGCCTCCTGCGTTTTCACCCAGACCTTGCCTCGATTTACTGAAAGCATTTCAAGCCCATAAAGTTGCCTCAGTGGAAGGCCTTTTCTTGGCTGTGCCAGGGGTTTGCAATGCAGCAGTTACACCAGCTCCTGGTGTACATCAATTTCAGGATGTCTCCCAAACCAAAATATCCAAACGAGTTTCTTATTTCCACTAATATGGGACAAGGCTTTCCTCAGCTTTTGATGTGGAGCGTGGAGGAATCACCATTTCATCCTGTCAGAGAAACCAGCTCCCCGTCAAAGACAGTCAACAATTGTTAATTTGATGGCGTTGGCTCTCCACCAAACCTCTCTCATGTGCCATGGCCCCAGAAGATGCTCTGACACAGCTGATTTAGTCACTCTTTGCAACACCCCCTTGCTGAATAACTGGGCCAAAACACATGGTTTCTGCAGACAGAGGGAACACCTTCATGTTCTTCTTCCTTTCTTTTCTCTTTCCCTCTCTCTGTAGACTTTCTTGAAATTGATGGTGCTCTGTGTGGTGAATTACTTATTTTTCTGGACTGGTCTTCCCCCTCACAGCAATTAAACACACTGAGTTCCTTCCAACTAAAATTATTGTGTCATTTTAAGGTAGTGCAAAGGAGACAGGCTGAATCAGGCAGGATTGAACATCTGGTAGGGTGAAAGTGGTAATATGGGGCACAAGATGCCTTGGTTCTACATCCAGCCTCTTCTCTCAGCAGTTTGGGATGAGCCTTGTTTTGTCTCATCTTTACACCTACAGAGGAAAGGGAGAGTGTGCTAGATTAATAATTCTATTCTATTCTATTCTATTCTATTCTATTCTATTCTATTCTATTCTATTCTATTCTATTCTATTCTATTCTATTCTATTCTATTCTATT